CCATAGAAACTTGTTTTAACCTAAATAAGGACATGACTATAAAGATACAAGAAGCTTATAGAACATCAAGTAGAATGGATTGAAAAGAAAATGCCTCACCACATAAGAATCAATACACTAGATGTACAGGAATTGAAAGGATATTAAAAGGTACAAAGTAAAAAGTTCAAGTAATATGTAAAGTTAGACCTATTGAATCACACCTGAGTTCTCAACTGAGAACCTAAAAATCAGAATGGCCTGGACTGATATCTTGCTCACTTTAAGAGACCATTGATACCAGTCAAGACTCCAATAACCAGAAAGCTTTTCATCATTATACATGTATAAAACAAGATATTTCTTGACAAATTCAACTTTAATCAAGATCTATCCAAAAGATCCAACACAGAGAAAATACTATAAGGAAAATTTTCTCTCAAGAAAGTTAGCCACACCCACAAATTCACTGGCAACACACAATCTCACATTAGACAGCCCCAAAGATGGGATACACACACAGAAACATACACATGTACTGAAATACACACTACCACCACCACCACCAAGCAAACAAATGAACAAACAAACAAATAAACCAGGAGGTAGCAATACTGGTCATTAATATCTCTGAATATCAATGAGCCAAATTTTCCAATAGAAGACGTCTGTTATGAAAACAGGATACAACTTTCTGCTGCATACACTAGTAAGAAGTCCAGAGACCTACAAGGATGACACAGACTGGCAATCTAACAAATAGTGGAGAGGCTGCCTTAAATGCCCTTCCCCGATATTGTGATTGACGACTTCCTTGTATGTCGTCCTAGAGCCTTCATCCAGTGGCTGAAGGAAGCAGACATCCACAACTCAATGATGAACTGAACTCCTGGAACCCAGTTGCTGAGAGGGAGGAGTGATGAGCAAAGGGGTTAAGACTTGGTGGGTGAAACCCACAGAAACAGCTGACCTGAACAAGGGGGAGCTCATGGACCCCAGACTGACAGTTGAGAGGCCAGCACGGGACTGATCGAGACGCCCTGAATGTGGATGCCAGTGAGGAGTACTCGGCATTCTGTGGTGCCTCAGGCAATAAATCAGCATTTATCACTGGCATCCAGATGGACTTTGGGAGCCCATTCCACGTGGAGGGATGCTGTCTCAGCTAGGACACATGGGGAAGGGCCTAAGCCCTGCCCCGGGATGATGTGACAGACTTTTGAGATCTCCCCATGAAGGGCCTCACCCTCCGTGGAGAGTGGAGTGGGGATTGAGGGAGGGTTGAAAGGGACGAGGGAAGAGGGGAGAGCGAGAGGGAGCTGGGATTGACACATGAAGCAAACTTGTTTCTAATTTAAAGAAAAAATTAAAAGAAAGAATAGAACAGCAATGTAAATGTGTTAAACTTAGAACTAAAAAAGAAAACAGGATCCAACTTTCTGCTGCATACAAAAAACACACCTCCACTTCAAAGATAGGCATTACCTCAGAGAAAAGGATTGGAAAAAGATTTTTCTATCTAACAGACTTAAGAACTATGCTTGTGCAACTCTCCTAGTAGTTAATAAAATAGACTTCAATTCAATATTAATGAAAAGAGTTAGAGAAGGGCATCCCATACTCATCAAAGAAAAATTCCCCCAAATGATGTCTCAATTCTGAACAGTTATGCAGCAAATTAAAACACCCAATATTTGCAAAAGAAACATAAATAAAGTTTAAATCATGTATCAATCCCAAACAATACTGGGAGACTTAACAATCGGTTGTCATGAATAGATGGATGTATACAGTCAAAATCTAAGAGAAATAATGGAACTTAACAGATATTATGACTCAAAAAGACAAGACAGATACACACAGAACATTTACCCAAGCCAAAAAGAATATAGCTTTTTCTCAGCACCACATGGAATACTCTGCACATTGATCATATACTCTGTCACAAAACATATCTCAGCAGATACAAGAAAATTGAAATACCCTGTTGTATTTTATCAGACCAACAGTAACTTTACATACTCATGGAAAATGGACAACTCCCCTCTGAAATATCACTTAGTCAAGAGAGAAATAATGACGGAAATGAAATTCTCTCTCAAATTCAATTACAATGAATGCCCAGCATACCCAAACTTATGGGAAACAATGAAAGTTGTGCTAAGAGGAAATTTTATAGCACTGAATGACTGCATAAATAATTTGGTGGAATCTTTTATTAGGGACTTGAACAGGAGACTTGAAAGGTCTGGAACAAAGAGAAGGAAACTCTTCCAAGTAGAGTAGACAGAAGATAATGATCAAAATGAGGGATGAAATAAATAAAATAAAAAGAGAAATAATAACACAAAGAAACAATAAGATAGACAAACCCTGTTGGGACCCATGTGACATCTCGGGGGATTAAGGCCTGAGAATTGCATGAACACATTGTCCTTGTAGCAAGGTCCTGGAGAACCTGACCCATTTTGCTGTTGCCTAAGGATAGTTCACTGCATAATTCTGGGCACGACCCCAGGAGTATCTGTGTTACCTGATCTCCTTGCTTTTATTACACAAACATTATAGCTGGCTGCCCTTTATTCTCCATTTCTCAGAGTTACCAATAAAATAGCTACTACACATGGAAAAATTCTCTCTGATGACTCTATTCTCTGTGAGTCACAGGGGATGGGATTCAAAATATACAGTGGATCTGATTGAGCCCCTAAAGCCTTTGATGTTTCAAGTGTGGCCATGAGTTCAAGCTTCTTAAGAAAAGGATAATTGCCTTTCCAGTACACTCTGTGACTTCCAGTAAAGAGTCACAGTAGCCTCATGGAACTACAAATTTGTGTAACCTTTATGGAGAGAATGATTTTAACAAGTGTGGAGGAGAAATGCTAATAAACATATGATATCTGGAGTCAATGGCAACAGTGTAGGAACAGGGAATGAAACAGAATCATATAAACCCACAATTCCCTCATTTCTAACAGCTCTGCCAACACTCTTGGAATTTGAGAGGAAGGGGTATGAGGCAATGGATAAGCAGTGCCAACTATTAAGAGTAAGGACTTATATACACATAATGGAGTTCTCCTCAACCTGAAAGAATTAAATGTTGTCATTAGAAGGAATTGGGGATGGAGTAACAGGTCATCATGTAAACTATGTAAATGTAAACACATTGTAGGAATTCAGATTTTTTCACAGACTCTGTGTATAATACTGTGTGTGTGTGTATGTGTGTGTGTGGGCGCACTCACATACATGAGCATACACACGTGTATTGGTACATTTATACATGCATTTAAGGACAAAGAAAGTGGGACAGGTATTATTTGGGAACTGAAGACCTGAAGGAATTGGGGATGGCATACCACATGAAGTCACTATGAACAGAAACCACGTTTGTTTCACAAATTGAGCAAGCACAGGCGTTTCATGCAGTGAAAAGGAGTCTGTTTGAACTGAGGAATGGAATAAACACTAAGTTGAGGAACAAATGTTTGTGACTTACAGTAAACACCAACAAAGAACATGCTAAGCGTGTGATAAAACCATTGAAGCTTAATATTTATTAAAACATAAATATTACACACAAACATCACAGGTTACCATGTTGAATCTGGACTGCAGGAATTTTCATTTGCACTCGCCACAAAAAGCTGAATTTGCTCTGTCTTCCTATGAAAGACTCTTTCTGATATATTCCTCTATATCCACATATTAATGTGCCAGAATAGATCATCACAGAAGCAGAGGTCACATACTTTCAGAATGTTTTATATTAAATGCCAAAATGAGAGCAAGAGCGGAATAGTAGTCCTGCTTGCCTCATCTCAAATACTCAATAAGACATGTCACTGCCCCCAGCACAGACTGGAAACCTGTATTTGTCCTACTTTCTCTGTAATCCATATCCACTGAAAGGGGCTCAGGAGCCCACACTCATCAGAACACTCACTGGCAGTACACATTCCAGAAGGCCAACTAAATAGATGATGAGGAAAATGACAGAGGAAGGTTCCTTTCTAGTTTCCGTTTACTTCTAAGAGTCTCAAAAAGACTTCTTCAAAGCCACTATTCAAATAGAAATTCAGGAAAAGATGCAGGAAATTGCAGATAAACCAGAATAATTGGGTCACCACATGGTATTGATCTGTGACTTCTTAGGATCAGGATCATGTTTTAGAACTCAAATATTCAGCTTGAGTTTTCATTAATAATGATTGCTTTGGAGGAAAAGGAGTGATAGGTTTTATGTAGTATTGACAATGAGACACAAAGTTCTGGTGTTCTCTCTGGATCTTATCAGCATTTAGCACTTATATGAGCTCTAGTTCTCTGATGAACAGCAGTTTGGGAAAAACAGGACTAAGAAACTTTCAGTATTTGGCCTGGTTATTTGTTTTCAAGACAGTGGAAGCACAGGCTGTGGTTACATATGTGTATCTCTCACTGGTGTAGCATAGGCCTCACTTTCCATGCTCTGTAGAACTCACTTGTTCTAAACATGAAGCTCCTTTTTGATGACATGAATTCTGTGATATAATCCCCAGTGTGCAACCATTAATTTTGACTTTGTGTGCCCTCCTGAATGTATAATGCATGTCTGAATGTGGATATTCTAACAAAATTCACTGACATCATTTCTAAAAGTGTTAGCATAAACAGATTGATGAGGAAGTCATGGGACCAAATTAACACCAATATGTCATCATCCCAGGGACATTAATTTCACAAAGAGGAGTGATGTCATGAAACTAGATGAAATATCCACATAAATAATTATTGACTAATTTTCATCACCCAGGCTATGGATATCAGATGTACAACCCCAGATGAAAGAGTGTCAACATATTCTAAATGGGTGATGAAACAGCTGTACAAAAGTGAAGGAATAATGAATGTATAAGAAGCCTCTCTTTTGGCCACATAAATAAAAGCAGGGGGGAGTTATGTGGGTGTGTATTTGATGTACTGATCTGCATGGCACTGAACAAGACACACTTTGCTGGTGTAGAACAGAACAAATTATGTTCACTTTGATATTCCTCTTCTTGTACCTGAATGTTTCTCTTCCAGTGTACAGTTTCATTCATCCTGGGTGCTACTGGAGAATAAAGGAGTATGGACACAAGAATAGAGACTTGGATACAGGTTGTTTATTCTCCCTTTCAACTGTGCCAAAGGGGAAAGAGTATTACAAATACCTTTTGAATATACAGTAAGTAACTTTGTATTTTATATGTTAATGTCATCATGAATTCTTCAAGAGGGGTTAGGAGGATTAGGATCATAGCAATGTCTTGAATATTCTGCCTTGTTATCCCATCCTGCACAACAAGAAACAACGTCAAATTGTTTTAGAGACTTAATGCTATTTTCTACTTTAAATTTTTCCAGAAAGGGTTATATTTTCCCCCTGCTACCCTCCAATTTATAATTCAGTGAGTAAAGGCCTGTATACATACATATATACGTACATACATACCTACATAATACATACATACATACATACTCTAGTTGTCTTCTTTACAAGTTACATGGCACAATATCAGGTAATGTCTCAACAAAAGAAACCCCATTATACTTTAATGTTATCCCAAGTACATACAAGAAATGGACATAGAGTAGAGTTAGCCGATGGAACTTTCATTTATGTGTAGGGCCTAATATATGTTCAAGGGCAACCAATATTTCATATAAATATTTAGTTACTCTCTCAAATGGTCTGCATGTGATCATCCTATGCTTTCTAAAGCTGTATCTAGAATGGAAGTAGGAGACCTGTTTTTTTTAATGAAAATCGTAAGTGGTTCTGTTTCTCCATAATTTACTTATAAACATGTACAACCACAGGTCTTTAATTACAAAGTCCAGGCCTTTATAGTTTCTTTAGAGTCAAAAAAGGTATGTATGGACTGTGAATGATATGCTTGCATTCTTGTCAATTATCTGAGTGACAGCTGTAGCATGTGTAGTCCACAACTCTTGAAAATAGGGATATAAGGTTACTTATTAGCTCTTCTTTGCCATTATTTAAGAAACATGCATCTTTTCCCCTCATACCTAAGTTGTTTATTCCCTGAAGTAATACTACACTTACCTCCTATATTTTTCAAGTATTTTTACTAATTATGTATGCACATTTTACCAATTTGGGTTCTATATACAGTTTAAGTCTCTGAATTAATGATAGTTGTTTTCAAACACAGTGCTTGATTCCACTAGGACACTTCAATAATTCAGGTAATTTATGTTTCATTAGTGTTTAGTGCACAGGAGTTGGTTTTTTATGATTCACAAATCCTAATCTGAAATTCCTCTCACTTGATACTTATTTTTCAGTGACATTTTTTTTCTGCGTGGTAATGAAGAATATTCTAAAATTATTTTTATTTGCAACACTTATCGATAAATACATATGTTTATACATGAAGACATCACAGTGGTTCAGTTTCTAAGTAGGACACCAATTGGATTTATCTCAAATTCAGAATGAAGGAATCTTGTTGATGTTTGTGGTCAAATGATATGAAGTGACTAGAAAGAAACAACAGTTATCTTTCTTCACATAGATTTAAACAGAAGTTGGTGCTATTCTCTTCCAACTGACTTGTTACCCATTACATTAGCTAAAATCTTTGTAAACATTTTCCATACATTTTTTCAAGACAGGGTTTCTCTGTATTGCTTTGGAGTCCATAAATTTTTAGTTTTCTATTTTGCAAATGTGGAACACTAGCAATAAAAATCTCTTTATGATGCTACTATTGTGTTAGTGTAACTGTAAAGGCATTCAAAATGTTTCTAGAAGAAAAATATGTTGTTCATATATGCCAATTGTGAATATATGACCTGTCAGTGCAAGCTTAAAATACGTGAACAATAATGAGGAGGTAACGCATGATTTAACCGCAGTCCTCAGGACTTGGAGCAGGTGCATGCTTGTGTACTTGTGCCTGCTCTAGTCTACCACAAATTATAAATCAAAATGATGTCATTCATTTCCCATTTATGGCATAAATGAACGTTAATACTGTTCATAAACACAGATGAACACACACACATCTTTACCATATATCTATGGTATTTAAATTTATTTAAAAATAAATCTTAAAAAAAGATCTTATGAATGCAATTGATGAGCTCGAAAGTATAATGAACAAGATGAAGGTGGATATGAGGGGATGTGTTAACTTTATTGCCAATGAATATAAGCAATATAAGATATACTCTTATGAACTTTTAAAACTTTTGTAATCTTCCACCTTCTTAAGTCATTCCAAACTCACAACACAGAACATTTAAATCAATGTTTGGGAGTGGTTGGGAATACTATCCAGTATTTTATGTAAATCTCTATTCCTATTAAACAATGTATACTTTTACAGAAAATCTTCTGAACACTATAAATATGCACTGGTCTTAGCTTTCTCCATGGATGAAGTCAACCAGAACCCTGATCTTTTACCAAATAAGTCTTTAATATTTGACTTCCAATTACATGATTGTATGACTGAGAAAAAATTATACAATGTCATTCAACTTTGGGAAAAATATTATGATGATATTGCCCCTAATTATATCTGTTATGAAGGAACCACATGTGGAGTGCTGCTTTCAGGACCGTACTGGTCAACCTCTTCCATAATTAGTAAATTCATGGACATCTACTTTTATCAACAGGTGAGAATTTGGGGGTTGGGTTTTCAAGAAATTCTGTCTCTGTTGATATCATTCCTAGAGGGAGACTGAAGTCAAACTGTGTAGCTCCAAACTGAAGTTAGTATTTCAGAGAGTTTGTGGGGCTTCATTACCTTTTTTAAAATGGAGATGAGGGAAGACAAAACAGGTAAGGGGTACTTTACAATTCTTTGCAGAACAGTGTGCCTAATGAGTTCTTAGGAGTGCATGCAACTCATGTTGCTCCCTGTGTCCTAGGTAGTCATCATTACATATGGACAGTTCCATCCAATTCTGAATGATCATGAACAATTTCCCAATGTGTATCAGATGGCCCCTAAGGACACATCTCTAGCCGTGGCCATGGTCTCCCTCATACTTCACTTCAGCTGGAACTGGATTGGACTGGCTATGTCAGACAATGATCAGAGTATACAATTTCTCTCATATTTGAGAAGAGAGATGGAAACAAATGCTGTCTGCTTTGCCTTTGTGAACATGATCCCAGTCAACATGCATTTATACATGTCAAGAGCTGAAATGTATTATAACCAAATCATGACATCATCCACAAGTGTTGTTATCATTTTTGGGGACACGGACAGTACTCTGGTTTTGAGTGTTATAATGTGGGAATCTCGAGGTATACACAAAATATGGGTCACTACCTCACAGTGGGATGTCACTACAAGTAAGAAAGACTTCACACTTGACAAAGCTCATGGAACTCTCACTTTTGCACAATACCATGGTGAGATTTCTGGTTTGAAAAATTTTCTTCAGACATTGGACCCTGACAAATACTCACATGAAGTCCTGGCAAGGCTGGAGTGGATGAACATTAACTGTGAAGTCGCAGCTTCTAAGTGTAAGACATTGAGGAACTGCTCAAACAATGCCCCATTAGAGTGGTTAATGGAGGAGAGTTTTGACATGGTCTTCAGTGAGGGAAGTTATGACATATACAATGCTGTGTATACTGTGGCCCACGCCTTCCATGAGATGTTTCTTCAGTCAGTGGACAATGTTAAGGGACCCGGTTCTAACTGCTTGAAGTTAGTATTTCTTCTCTTGGATGTTTTCGTGTCATGAATGCCAAAGAATTTAATGGTCTTTCAGATGCCACAATCTAGTAGTTTAGGAAATAGTTTCCCAAAAGTAAAGACTTCTGAACATTTTTTAAGTCTGATAAAGTAAATCCAGGTTGGCATAAATCTCTTCTTCAAAGGCAATTTCGTAGAATACACAATTTGCTAATAAAAATAGGTGAATTTCTTACAAAGCACCTCAATATCATCGCTCATGTTCTCATTCTTGAAACCTATCAACCCTTCCTCCTTAATTCTCTCCATGAAGAGAAGATGAGATTCTGTTCATTAATTTTCAAATATGTGATTATCATTGTAGGGGATGGTTTTCACAAATGTTCTGAACTGATTCTGGTCACACTTTAGGTTGTGAAAAATTCACTTGACACTGGAGAATAATTACACCAGGAATAATGCTGTGATTTGGTTCAGTACTCACATGCTTATCTGTATGTGTGATTGGATGGTTCTCAGTGTGCATGGGTACATGTTTGTATGCTTCTGAGTTTCTGTTCAGATACCTGCCCTTATATGTATATATATGTTTCTGTGTATCTGAATATCTATCCGTCTCTTTGTAGAAGTGAGAATAAATTTGTCTTTTGTCAATGTCCTTCTGTATGCATTTGGGATTCTGTGTGTATTTTCATGTATGTGTTTGTGTATATGTATCTGTCTGTGGGTTTTTGTTTTTATGAATACTCTTTAAAATATGTATATCTGTGTTTCTGTGTATGTGTGTCTATATCTGTCTGTCTTGGATTTAATCATACATTTTCTTCATCAATATCTCCCTGTACAACTGTTGTATCTTTGTAATTTTCCCTGTGTATATATGTCTGTGAACTTGTGTATTTGAGGGTCTGTTTAAGGTTTTGCTGGTTTCCATTTCTGTGTGTCTGCTTGGCTGCATAAGACTCTCTGCGTTTGCTTATGAGTTCATATGTGTTTGTCTTATATATATATACATATATGTGAGTAAATAACATGTTGTTATATTACCTAAGAGTTTATCTCTGTATGGATATGAGTCATCCTGTATGTGTATGGGTTTGTACACATTTCATATTTATGTTTTGTGTCTGCATGTATGTCTTTGTTTGCATTTGATAGCTTTCTCTGTAAAAATAAAATTCTAGGACCATTACAATAATTTCATTAATTCACTCGATTATTTGAGATTTCTCACCTTTCTACCTTTATAAAGTTGCATTTAGGAAGAAATAAGAATGCATTTTCTGACTTCAGGAGAGGGCACATACATGATAGAATGATTCCTGTCTTTCAAATGCACTTGTTTCCTAGGAAAAGCCACTTAACTAACAATGCTGGGAAGAGGGTGAATATGAACCAGAAAGAAAGTCAGCAGCCAGAGTATGACATTTTCCAGATTTGGAATTTCCCAAATGGTCTTGGATTTAAGGTGAAGATAGGAAGCTTTTCCCCATATTTTCCATATGGTCAACAGCTCTATTTATATGACGACATGATAGAGTGGGCTACAGGAAGTAGACAGGTAGGCCTGAACCAATTGTATTGATTTTATTACAGAGAAATAACACTTTCAAGTGGGTCCATTTGTGCTTCCTTGTAAATGTCCAGAATCCATATATGAGTGAGTACAAACCATGTTTGTATTACTGTGACTGAGTTACTTCACTTAGGATGGTTTCTTCTAATTCCGTCCATTTGCCTGCAAATTTCAAGGTTCCATTGTTTTGTTTCCATTGAGTAGTACTCCATTGTGTAAATATACCACATTTTCTCTATCCATTCTTTTGGTGAATGGCATCTGGCTTGTTTCCAGGTTCTGGCTATTACAAATAATGCTGCTATGAACATAGTTGAACAAATGCCCTTGTTGTATGAACTTGGGTATATGCCCAAGAGTAGAATTGCTGGATCTTCAGGTAGACTGGTTCCCATTTTCCTGAGAAACTGCCATACTGAATTCCAAAGTGTCTACAAGTTTGCACTCCCACAAGTGATGGAGAAGCATTCCCCTTTCTCTCCATCCTCTCCATCATAAACTATCATTGGTGTTTTCGAGTTTAGCCGTCTGACATGTGTAAGATGATATCTCAGAGTTGTTTGTATTGCATTTCCCTGATGGCTAAGTAATTTGAGCACTTTCTTTAGTGTCTTTCAGCCATTTTGAATTCCTCTATTGAGAATTCTGTTTAGTTCTGCATGACACTTCTTAGTTGAATTATTTGGTGTTGTAGTGACTTGCTTCTTTAGTTCTCCATATCTCTTCAATATTATACTGGAAGTTCTAGCTACAGCAAATAAGACAACAACAGGAGATCAAGGGGATACAAATTGGGAAGTAAGAAGTCAAACTTTCACTATTTGCAGATGATATTATAGTCCACATAAGTGACCTGAAGAACTCTACCAGGAACTCCTACACCTGATAAAACCTTCAGCAAAGTGGCAGGATACAAGATTAAATAAAAAACAGTAGCCTTACTATATGTAGACAATAAAGGGGATGAGGAAGAAATCAGAGAAATGTCACCCTTTACAATAGACACAAACAACACAAATTATCTTGGGGTAATCCTAACCAAAGAAGTAAAAGACCTGTATTACAAGAACTTAGAAGCTTTTTATTTATTTATTTTTCATTTTAAATTTAGATAAGAAACAAGGTTGCTTTACAAGTCAGTTCCAGGTCCCTCTCCCTTTCCCTCCCCTCCTCCGGTACTCTCCCCTGACCCTCCCATTATCCGCTCATTTCCCCAGGGAGGGTGAGGCCCTCCATGGGGGTGTCCATAGTCTGTCATTTCATACAGGGCAGGGCCTAGACCCTCCCCCAAGAGTTCATGGTGAGAGTGCACCTCACATTGTTGGATGGGAGTCCAAAGTCCTTGTGTATACTCAGGATGGGTACTGATCTGCTGCCCAAGGCTCAATAGATTACCTAGGCCTCCTCACTGACAACCACATTCAGGGGGTCTTGATCAGTCCCATGCTGGATTCCCAGGCTGATGCCTGGGATTCAAGAGTTAACCTTTGTCTGGTCAGCTGTTTCTGGGGGTTAAACCAGCCCAGTCTTAATCCCTTTGATCATCAGTCCTCCCTCTCTGTTACTGGCTTTCTTGAGTTCAGCTCAGTACTTAACCGAGGGTGTCTGCCTCTTCTTCCATCAGCCACTGAATGAAGTTTCTGTTTCCCAGACTCTTTGGCCATGGGATTGTAGGCTGGCACTCCGCAGATCTATGTCTAAAATCGATATATGAGAGAGTACATGCCATGTTTCTCTTTTTGTGACTGGGTTACCTCACTCAGGATGGTTTCTTCTAGTGTCATCCATTTGCCTGCAAATCTCAGGATTCCATTGTTTTTTTCTGCTGAATAGTACTCCATTGTGTAAATGTAGCACATTTTCTCTATCCACTCTTCGGTTGAGGGACATCTAGGCTGCTTCCAAGTTCTGGCTATTACAAATAATGCTGCTATGGACATAGTGGAACAGACATCCTTGTTGTATGAATGGGCATCTTTTGGATATATGCCTAAGAGTGGAGTTGCTGGGTCTTGTGCTAGGTTTATTCCCATTTTTCTGAGGAATCTCCATACTGATTTCCAAAGTGGCACTCCACCAGCAATGGAGGAGTGTCCCCCTTTCACCAAATCCTCTCCAGCATAAATTGTCATTAGTGTTTTTGATTTTAGCCATTCTGACAGGAGTGAGATGGTATCTCAGAGTTGTTTTGATTTGCATTTCCCGGATGGCTAAGGATGTTGAGCACTTTCTCAAGTGCCTCTCAGCCATTTTAGACTCCTCTATTGAAAATTCTCTATTTAGTTCTGCAGCCCACTTTTTAATTGCGTCCTTTGGTGTTTTGGAGACTTGCTTCTTGAGTTCTTTGTAAATTTTGGAGATCAACCCTCTGTCAGATGTGGGATTAGTGAATATTTTTTCCCATTCTGTGGGCTGCCTTTTTGTCTTGCTGACTGTGTCCTTTGCCTTACAGAAGCTTCTCAGTTTCAGGAGGTCCCATTTATTAATTGTTGATCTCACTGTCTGTGCTACTGGTGTTATGTTCAGGAAGCTGTCTCCTGTACCAATTCATTCAAGGGTATCACCCACTTTCTCTTCTAAGAGGTTCAGTGTGGCTGGATTTATGTTGAGGTCTTTGATCCATTTGGACTTAAGTTTTGTGCATGGCAGTGAACATGGATCGATCCACATTCTTCTACATGCCAGCCTCCAGTTATGCTTTCTTCATTCCATTGTATATTTTTAGCTTCTTTGTCAAAGAACAGATGTTCATATATGTGTGGGTTAATATCCGGGTTTTCAATTTGGTTCTATTGGTTTACCTGTCTAACTGTGTGCCAATACCAAGCTGTTTTCAGGACTACAGCTCTATACTAGAGCTTGAGGTCAGGGATGGTGATGCCTCCAGATGTTGCCTTGTTGAACAGGGCTGTTTTGGCTATCCTGGTTCTTTTGTTATCCCATACAAAATTGATTATTGTTCTTTCAAGGTCTGTGAAGAATTGTGCTGGGATTTTAATGGGGATTGCATTGAATGTGTAGATTGCTTTTTGCAGGATTGCCATTTGTACTACATTGATCCTACCTATCCAAGAACATGGGAGATCTTTCCATTTTCTGAGGGCTTCTTTAATTTCTTTCTTTAAAGATTCAAAGTTCTTGCGATACAGGTCTTTCACTTGTTTGGTTAGCATTACCCCAAGGTATTTTATGTTGTTTGTGGCAATTGTAAAGGTTGATGTTTCTCTGATTTCTTTCTCAACCCTATTATAATCTGTATATAGTAGGGCTACTGATTTTCTTGAGTTGATCTTGTAGCCTGCCACATTGCTGAAGGTGTTAATCAGCTGTAAGAGTTCCGTGGAAGAGTTCTTTGGGTCATTGATGTAAACTGTCATATCATCTGCAAACAGTGAAAGTTTGACCTCTTCCTTCCCAATTTGTATCCCCTTGATCCCCCTTTGTTGTCGTATGGCAATGGCTAGAACTTTAAGTACCATGTTGAAAAGGTATGGAGAGTGTGGACAGCCTTGTTTTTTTCCTGATTTTAGAGGAATTGCGTTGAGTTTCTGTCCATTTAGTTTGATGTCGGCTGTTGGTTTATTGTATATAGCTTTTATTATGTTTAAGTATGTCCCTGTTATCACAGATCTCTCCAAGACCTTTATCATGAAGGGGTGTTGGATTTTGTCAAAGGCCTTTTCAGCATCTAGTGAGATGATCATGTGATTTTTGTTTTGCAGCTTGTTTATATGGTGGATTACGTTGATGGATTTTCGTATGTTGAACCATCCCTTCATCACTGGGATGAAACCTCCTTGATCGTGGTGAATGATTGTTTTGATGTGTTCTTGGATCTGATTTGCCAGTATTTTATTGAGTATTTTTGCATCAATGTTCATGAGGGATATTGGTCTGAAGTTCTCTTCCTTAGTTGTGTCTTTGTGTGGCTTGGGGTCAAGGTTATTGAAGCCTAATAGAAAGATTTTGGCAAAGACCCTTCTGCTTCTATTGTGTGGAATACTTTGAGAAGAATTGGTATAAGCTGTTCTTTGAATTTCTGGTAGAATTCTGCACTGAGGCCATCTGGACATGGACTTTTTTGGTTGGGAGACTTTTGATGACTGCTTCTATTTCCATAGGGTTTATAGATCTATTTAATTGCTTATCTGTTCTTGATTTAGTTTTGGCAAGTGATAGCTATCCAGGAAGTCGTACATTTCCTTTAAATTTTCGAATTTTGTGGAGTGCAGGTTTTCAAAGTATGACCTGATGATTCTCTGGATTTCCTCATAGTCCGTTGTTATGTCTCCCTTTTCATTTCTGATTTTTTAAATTTGCATGTTCACTCTCTGCTGTTTGTTAAGTTTGGACAAAGGTTTGTCTAGCTTGTTGATTTTCTCAAAGAACCAACTCTTCATTGCATTGATTCTTTGTAGTGTTTTCCTAGTTTCTGCTTTATTGATTTCAGCCCTCAATTTGATTATTTTCTGGCAACTACTCCTCCTGGGGGAGTTTGCTTCTTTGTGTTCTAGAGCTTTCAGCTGTGCTGTTAATCCTCTAGTATAACTGTTCTCCAGTTTCTTCATGTGGGCACTTAGTGCTATGAAATTCCCCTGTAGCACTGCTTTCCAAGTGTCCCATAGGTTTGCCTATGTTGTAACTTCATTCTCATTGAATTCGAGGAAATCTTTAATTTCTTTTTTAATTTCTTCTTTGACCCAGGAATGGTGCAGTTGAGCATTATTAAATTTCCATGAGTTTGTAGGTTTTCTGCAATTTGTGTTGTTCTTGAATTCTAATTTTAAAGCATGGTGGTCTGATAAGATGCATGGAGTTATTCCAATTTTTTTGTAGCTGCTGAGGTTTGACATGTTGCCAAATATGTGGTCGATTTTTGAGAAGGTTCCATGTGGTGGTGAGAAGAAGGTATATTCTTTTTTATGTGGATGAAATGTTGTATAGATGTCTGTTAATCCCAGTTGGGTCATTATTCTATTAGACCG